CTAGACATACCCAATTCCAGCAAACTCTTAGGAGCAGTAAAAAAAAAAAAATGAAGAAAAATTCCTAGAGTATACAGGTAGTCCTCAACCTATAACAATTTGTCTAGAGACTGTTTAAAGTTACAACGGCACTGAAAAAGTGGCATGACCATTTTTCACATTTACGGCCATTGTAGCATCCCCTTGATCACATGATCAAAATTCAGATGCTTGGCAACTGGTTCATATTTATGATAGTTGCAGTGTCCCGAAGTCATGTGATCACCTTTTGTGATTTTCTGTCACAAAAGCAAAAATTGACTTAACAACCGTGTTATTAATTTAACAACGACATTGATTCGCTTAACAATGGGGCAAGAAAATGGGGCATAATTCACTTAACAAATGTCTTGCATAACAACAGAAATTTTGGGCTCAATTGTGGTCCTAAGTCGAGGACCACCTGTACTGAATCTCCTGCAGATGGCTTGCTGGGATGGATGTGGTCAGTGAGCTGACTGTTCGTCCCAAAATCTGTGTATTCTGCAGTAACTGTTAATTATTCTGATTTAACTTACTTTTAAGCTGCCGATTGTTAAAAACGTATCTCGCTTCCACGTTTTTATATATTTCCAAGCTGCACAATAGCAAAGGGTACGTCACTGCTTTCAGAAAAACCAAACTGTTCTTTTCTCTAGCAATTCTGGGGAGTCTGTTTTCTTTCAATGGCACTTTAATTTCGTTCCATTGTTGGAGAAATTATGCTTGGCCAACTGCACGCATTTCTGAAGGGGATTTTTCAGGGCAGAGAGAAAAACGGCTTTTGAGAAAGTTCATTGTGTTACTTTTGTTCCAACATAATTGCTTAAGGAACTGGAGCAGAGACTAATCATACCTGCAAAATATGGATCCAGTCCAAGAATCCATATAACTGAGTTTGCCCGAGTAAGACTATGGACGTCTGCTTCTTAAGTATGTAGTGGATCAGTTCTGAGATGTTTGGACGTTTGCTTGCAAGGTAGCATGGACTATTGGGTGGGGAATAATAATAAATTAAATTAAAAATATAATCTCTGAGAATATAATGAAAACTCCCTAAATTAATCTTCTAAAAAGAATCAGCCCATTTTACTTTTGTCCTGGAAGTTGGATAGGATCCTTGTATGACCCACTGACTGTGGGTTGCTCCTCAGATTATTGTCCACCATATATAGTTTGTCACACTTACGACCTTTGCAGTATCCCGTGGTCACGTAATCAAAATTTGGACGCTTGGCAACTGATTCATATTTATGACGGTTGCCACATCTCAGGGTTATGTGATCATCTTTTGTGATGTTCTGACAAGCAAACCCAATGGGGAAGCCAAATTTTGTCAGTGAGAAAATCTGACTATAAGGGGTGTCAAACTGCTGGCCCATGGGCTGAATGCATCATAGCGAAATTGCGCCCACTCCATTGCTGGCAATGGCAAAAAAAAGTTGCGATACGTCGCAACACGTCACGTGACGTTGCAAGTTTGACACCCCTGGACTATAGCGATTCACTGAACAGCTGTGGCAAGAAAGATTTATTTTACTTTACAGACCTGTGGAAATCCTAAATGTGAGGATAGTTATTTTTTATCACCTTTGTAACTTCAAATAGCAGCTAAATGAGGACTATCTATACTGGATTTCATTTTCAGAGTATCTCCCTTTATCTGGTTTTGTATGAAAATCTGCCACATGTCAGGCAACTGAAATGGACATCTGTTTATAAGTTACTATTCACTATTATTATGTCATTCAATAAAAATATAGACAAAGGAGCATGGATTTCTACACTTTAACTTTGAGGGAATAAGGAAATAAAATAAAATCCTTTCAGAGCTAAACAAAGACCCTTCATTTAAAGGTCTTTTCATTTGATTGAAATAGTATTGTCCATGTAAAATGTTACATTTGGTTTAATGCCCACACAAAACTCGCATTTTATAAATATGTAATAAAATATGTAAAGACCTATTTGTGGGTAGGAAAGGCATAATTCAGTTAATATTTCTGTGATTTAAATGTAATCACCAAATGATGCAGAAGTAAATAATTTAATATATGCCAAATAGACAAGGACTAGATATATACTCCTCTCACCATCTACAGACCAATTTTATTTTTCTAATGTTTTTTTCTAAAGACACTCCTCCACCTGTCTGTACGGAGCACTATTTCTTATTTGAATGACTATTTCATCTTCATATTATTTAGTTGTTAGTTGCTGCTTTGATATTTTTGTCTGTACTTGTAGTTCTAGTATTGGCATCTTTAATGGGAGAGAGAGAGAGAGAGAGAGAGAGAGAGAGAGAGAGACGAACACACACAGAGAGAGAGACCCTATAGATTTTACACCACTAGTAGTTGCCAACTATAGAGGGCGGTGCTTATTTCCATTTCAAAGCCACTGAGCCAGCTCTGTCTGAAGACATTTCCATGGTCATGTGGCCAGCATGACGTCACGGAGAGCTGTTACTTGCATTTGAATGCTTTCGAACTGCTAGGTTGACGGGAACGGGAGTGAGGATGGCAGCTCACCCCATCACATGGGCACTCGGGTCTCAAACCCGGGCTGCTGGCTTTCCAACTGACAAGCCCACTGTCTTAACTGCTGAGCCACTGTGTTGCCCTCTAATGGTAGACCTTTCTGTATTTTCATGGTGAACCCTTCTGTATGTTCATGGGTGCTTGTAGCATGTTGAAGGAAAAGTCTTCATCATGATTCAGTCCAAGCCAGGAATAAACAACATGGTGACTGCTTTAAAAAGAAGGTTGCAGTTTATTGAAGAGGAGAGCCAGACAGAAAGATAGTTCTGGAAGGAAAGAGAGTGAGCACATGTAGGGAGTGAGTTTTTATACCCTCTGGAACCTTTTGTTTCGAGTTGTTCCTGTGGCATGAACTTTGACCTGAGTCTACGTGTGCCTTTCTGGTATTCTGATGGTGGTGGGTTAATCCTATTATGTCCCAACGGTCATATCCTGCTTCCCTTGGGCTGTGGCTGATGACTGTTGGATTTTTGGTGTTGATTCTAGGGATCTTTCTTCCTAATTCCAGTTTCCTGATTCCAGTCTTTCTGACAAGATTATCACATCTGCATTTCTGTTCTCTGTGTTCCTGTTTGGGACAGAGAGACTTCGGGGGGGGGGTGGTTTCTGCTTTAAAATCCTTTAGGGAAATATATTCTGTCTTTTAAATATTTCCAAACATATTTCTTTCTCTTGGGGGGGGGCTGCCTTCCCACAAGCTCTTACCACATGCTGCTGTTTCTTTTATTTTTGACTAGTTTTTAGGATAAGCCCTGTTCAGTCCCAATCTTGTATGAAAAGGCCAACCTGAAGATTGGTGCTAACCTTTCTGTCATGCTGGTTAGAAATTCTTGGAACTCAATTCCTGAAACATCTGGATGGAGCCAGGTTGAGGATACCTGCAGTCTCCTACCACCTTAACGTGTCCTTGTAGTAGACACACCTTTGTGATCGTCCTGTGAAACTCACATTAATTATTAGCGTGAACAAAGTTATCTTCTGCTGATCATGTCAAGGGAGAAAATGTTTAATCACCTCCCGCGAAACCTACTTTCTCTGAGGGAGAAAGGTGTGGTAAAACTGAAAAAAAAATATAGAACATCTTAAGAATATCTACCCAACACACTTGTACATTTTATGAATGAAAGCTTTTTAAGTACTTCTAAATGAATTTTTGGAAAAAGGGAGAAAATGGAGATGAATGCTGACAGGTGATATTTGATCAAAAGCAAAAAATACGAAACTTTGTTCCTTTATCACAGGACTTTTTTTTATGGGTGGGGGGTGTCTTCCAGATATTTTTGATCAGGTATTTGAAGCTGTTTTATTTTTAAAAAACAACCACATAGGGAGACATCCTGACTGCTTCCTTGTAGAGCTGTATAAATTTGTCATTTTCCACATGGTAGGTCTGTGTGAAAACACCCACTTTAGGAAATTAATTTTATAGTCATAGGAGAGTTGAAAGATATCCTTTATGTTGTTCACTGAACATAAGACAGCCCCTGCTTTGTCAACTTTTTAAACACAGGAACATCCCATGTGATTTAAGGTGATTATTGTTAATTTCTTCTTTTTTTAACCACGAATTAATGTTTCATAAATCTATAGCATGATGTTTGTCTTTTAAATCTTCATAGCTACAATATGTATTTCAGATCTGGCCACGAAGAGAAAATATTTTTCTGTCCTTAGCAAAAATGTTTTGATTGCAGCTCAGATATTTTTTTCTTTTGAGAAGATTCATACTGTAGTTTTTGATAGGAACCTTCTGTCTTTTTTTTTTATCCTGATAAATAGAAAAGTAACTCTGTATAACTCTTCTTTTTATGATTTCACTATGGGTTCCTCCTTGCTTATATTCATATTAAATATACTTTTCAATTTTGCCTCTTCCTGATCTTTATATCCTGATCTTATTGTCAGTGACAATCCAAAGTCTATTTTAAAGTAGGAGCCTGAAAACAGCTTTCGGTTTTCTCAAAACATGCAATCTTTGTTTCTTTTCAGAACCAACAGCCACTACCACTATCATAAATTCCGGTTAATGTATATGTTACCAGCAATGGGTGAAAAGCTGGCATTGTATAGAATGCCTCAGAAATCCATAGAATGTGTGACATTTTTAGGCAAAGTATGTGTGTTACTTTAATATGCTATATGGCTAGGCCAGGGGTAGGCAACCTTGGCTCTTTTATGACTTGTGGACTTCAACTCCCAGAATTCCTGAGCCAGCATGGCTCAGCTTGGAAACCCCTCCCTTTCCCCTCAGCATGGCTGGCTCAGGAATTCTGGGAGTTGAAGTCCACGAGTCATAAAAGAGCCAAGTTTGCCTACCCCTGGGTTAGGAGGATGGATGGGCAGAATAACTAAAATCCTGATCTTGCAAAGAAACTAGGTAAATGGCACAAACTATGTTTTGTGGATGCTTGAGTGCAGTAATGCTTTTCCCTTTCTCTCTAGTCCATAGTCTTCATTCGCGATCGAAATGCCCGTGGCCAGGAGGTCTCTGCCTATATTGATTATGCCCATCGTTTGAAGGTGGATGAATTTGATGCCTATTTCAGTGGAAAAAAGAAACTTTTCCCCAGGCGCAGTGATCTGAGGTTGGTGAGTCGTCTTCTGCCCACATTGGAAATTTCAACTGTTTGTAGACACATTAGAACCCTTATCTCAAGGGTGCTTTTCAAAAGATAGCTGGACTTTGTTTTTTCTTTGAAAACGTTCCACTTCTCCTCCAAGAAGTTTCTTCAGTTCTGACTGAATGGTGGGGAATGGAAGGATTTATTCAGCCAGTTTGCACTGATTCGGGAGAACCGGTAGCTAAATTTACCTGAATTCGGATAACCGACTGGCTTCCAGACGTCCAATCTAGGCCTCGGAGGCCTGGAGGAGGCCTCACAGGCTTAGAACAGTCCACTGGAAGTGCATGGATACCACTTCTGGAAGTCCGTTCTAGGCCTCGGAGGCCTGGAGGAGTCCTCCCAGGCCTAGAACGGCCCACCGGAAGTGTGTGGATGCTACTTCCGGAAGTCGTTCTAGGCATCGGAGGACCAGGCCTGTATCAAATATGAGAACCAGTTGTTCAGGTATTTGAATCCCACCACTGAATTTATAATCTTTGTAGTCATCTGGTCCTTAGCACTCTAAAGGTTGGTTATTGGCTCTCTGAGAGTCGTTGAGGCCACTGGGAAGTTTATCTCTACCCTCAGGGTCACCTGAATCAAAGTGCAAATGGCTGTGGAACCTTCTTGGAATTGCCGAAAGGGCTGTGTTGTAGACAAGAGATAGGTAATACCCTGTCCTTCCCCCTCTGTTGAGAGAGGACTGTTCAATTTTAACACAGATCAATATTAACATTGAACAGCCCTCTCTCAGCAGAGGGGGAGGGATATGACACCACCTATACCTCCTGTCTACAACACAGACAATACAGAGACAATGAGAGAGCTAACAACTGACTTTCAGACTGCTAACAATTAGATGATTGCAAAGAATATAAATCCTTCCATTTCCCACCATTCAATCAGAACCGAAGCTTCTTGGATGAGAAGCAAAACATTTTCAAAGGAAAAAAAACAAAGAAAGCCCAGTTGCCTTTTGAAAAGCACCTCTGGGACAGCCATGACCTGGATGACTGAGAATTTGCATAGACATTAGTACAGGGGCCCTCAAACCTGGCCACTTTAAGACTTGTGGACTTCAACTCCCAGAATTCCCCAGCCAGCCATGCTGGCTAGGGAATTCTGGGAGTTGAAGTTCACAAGTCTTAAAGTGCCCAAGTTTGAAGACCTCTGCATTAGAACATTTACTTTCCAGTTGGAACCATAAAAAGGAATCAAAAGTTCAACCTACTTCACTTGAGGAAACATATTCGACAAGATGAGCAGCCCTTGACTTACAAACCTTCATTTAGCAACTGTTCAGAGTTACAATAGCATTTTAAAAAAGTGACTTAAGACTGGTCCTCTTGGACCATTGCAGCAACCCCGCAGTCAGGTGATCAAAATTAGGTGCTTGGCAACCAGCATGCATTTACCACAATTGCAACATCCCTGGGTCATGTGAGGTCACCATTTGTGACCTTCCCAGCCAGCTTCTAACAAGTAAAGTCAAAGAGGGAAGCTGGTTTCACTTAACAACTGCAGTGATTTGTTTAACAACTGTGGCAAAAAAGGTCATAAAAAAATCAGGCATAACTCGCATAACTACGGCCTTGCTTGGCAATGGAAATTCTCTTCCAAATTGTGGTTGTAAGTTGAAGACTACCTGCCAAGAACGAAACTTTGGCAGCTACGTGCCTCTTCATTTCAACTTGCCATTAGAGTAAAAGGAGGAGCTGTTGCTTTAGAATGGGTTAGATCAGTGGTGGCGAACCTATGGCATGGGTGCCAGAGGCGGCACTCAGAGCCCTCTCTGTGAGCACATGTGCCATTACCCCAGCCTTGCCTCCCCCCATGATCCCCTCACCAGCAGCCCTCCTGGAGGAGAGTCACCCCCAAGCATGGCCCACGCGGAGCAGCGTAGCCAAGAACATGGCAGCCAGGCAGCGTAGACAAGACTCTGCCTTCACACCCCATCACGCACAGTTGATGCTGCAGGGTGCGGGGAGAGGGCGTGTCCACCATGGCGCTGCTGGGTTGCCTGGGTGATTTGCGATGGGCCCTGAAGGCAGGCGGGGTGGAGTGGAGTGGGGGTGGGGTAGTGGGTGGAGCGGGGGCGGGGCCAGTTTTGGGTACTCGGTCTCTAAAAGGTTCGCCATCACTGGGTTAGATGGAGAAACGAAACCTCTATAATTCTGTTGAAGACTGTGAGAGCCTGAAACCTTTCCAAGGACACCCCAGCAGGTGCGGAGAGGAAGCAGAAAGTTCCCACAACAAAGTTAAAATCGTTTACATGTACTAGGTGAGAGGTTGGGGGTTTGGCCGGAAAAAATATTGTTTAATTTTTATGAACGGATGTCTGGGAACCTCAGAATTAGTTTTGCTTCAACAAAACCATGCCGTATATTCAATAAACAGTAAGATTTTCAGAAAACGGAATGAACCTGGAGTTTCATTTGGATTCTCAAGCTGGACGTTGACACTACTTGTATAGATGTCCCAGAAGATAAATACATACCAAGTTAGAAAATGTGAGCCATCGACATGCCAAGTTAGCCTCAGCTAATATTGAATCATAAAATTGAGACTCTTCCAATGTTATCTCATACGCTGTCCTCTAGGCATTTTGCCCCAGGATGTGTAAAGTTTTACAGATCAGAAATAGCTCTTAGAATTGAATTTCGAAATGTACTTGGAGGCCGTGTTGCTATAAATGGTGCAGGCCTGAGGAACAAAAATGCTGTGAGATGTTTCATAGCCTGTTTGTTCCATTTTTTACCTGATCATTGGGGGTCTCCCAATGAAACTGTGAATCAAGTGCCTCAGAAAAGGGTAGCCTCACCCCTATAAAAGGTTCTATCTCTGGTGGCAGTTACACACGTGCAAATACCACTTTATAATGCCTTGATAAGGCCACACTTGGAATGCTGCATCCAGTTTTGGTCAGCACGATGTAAAAAAGATGTTGAGAGTCTAGAAAGAGTGCAGAGAAGAGCAACAAAGATGATTAGGGGACTGGAGGCTAAAACATATAAAGAACGGTTGCTGGAATTGGGTATGTCTAGTTCAATGAAGAGAAGGAAGAGGGAGGACATGATAGCAGTGTTCCAATATCTCAGGGGCTGCCACAAAGAAGAGGGAGTCAAGCTATTTTCCAAGGCGCCTGAAGGCAAGACAAGAAGCAATGGATGGAAACTAAGCAAGGAGAGAAGCAACCTAGAACTAAAGAGAAACTTCCTGACAGTTAGAACAATTAACCAGTGGAACAACCTGCCTCCAGAAGCTGTGAATGCTCCAACTGGACAGCCATTTGTCCAAGACACTCAGACAAATGGTCTAAATAGTTGGAATCTTTCTATTTGTTGAACACCAGAAAGTCTATTAAATAGTTGGCAATCCCCGTATGTAGGAGAAGTTTCTTCTTATTTGTATCAAGATTTGTTTGACGTTCTGTATGAAAAATATATTTTCTCTGTTAGTGAATGTCCCCAGCTTATATAACCAGCCACATCATTACAAACTCTGTTATTAGAAACATCCATTGGGGGAGGGCATATACAGGCGTTATGCCACTGTGACTTTTTCCCTCCTTTTTATTTTGATTATGATGGCCCTGGATTAAATATTTATCAAAATAAAGATGCACTTGGGGTACCAGGGGAAGGGGGCAGATATTTAGACTAGAGTTGGTGTTTCTATCCACTTTTCAGGTGCTCGTAAAGGCCCTGGGATAGGCAGATGTTGTTTCATGGTGTTAAAGATATATTCGGAGAATGTAAGCTGTTCCTAGTAAAGCTGCCTTTTGCAATTGACTAATAGTGATTATATCAATGCCAATAATTTTCAACTGGTGCTCCAGATGTTTTGGGATTGCACCCAAGATGCCTATCACTATTGGTACTACCTTTGCTTTCTTTTGCCACAGTTGTTCTATTTCCATTTACAAGTCTGTGTATTTTGTGATTTTTCTCCTGTTCTTTCCATTCTATCCTGCTGTCTCCAGGGTCTGCGGCATCCCTATCCAGATTGTTGTTCTTGTCTCAGTATACTGGAACATCTTAGCTTCAGCACTTTAGCCTATAAGGTAGTCCTTGACTTATGACCACAGTTGACCCCAGAATTTCTGTTGTTAAGGGAGTTTTACCCCATTTTGTGACCTTTTTGCCACATTTGTTAAGCCAATCACTGCAGTTGTTAAATTAGTAACCTAGTCGTTAAGTGAATCTGACTTCTGCGCTCATTTTGTTTGTCAGAAGGTCGCAGAAGGGGGTCACATGACCTCGGGGCAATGCAACTGTCCTAAATATGAGTCAGCTGCCATTGCGTCCGAATTTTGACCACTTGACGTGGGGATGCTGCAACGGTCATAAGTTTGAAAAACGATCATAAGTCACTTTTTCCCATGCTGTTGAAACTTCGAGTGGTCACTAAAGGAACCGTTGTAAGTCGAGGACTGCCTGTACTGTCCCTTTTTTTTCATGCCTGCCTTGAGCTGGAGCGACTGAATGCGTTGAGCAAGAGTGTTCCTCTCCTGCAAAGTTTTGTCTTGGAAGTCAAAAGTGGGGCACCAGTAGGACAACACCCTCTTTGTGTTCTCTCTCTCTCTTAATTGCTTCTGTTTGTTGTATCGAGATTCAAGAGAAATCCAGGACACACTTTTAACAACCCTGCAGTGTTCTCCTGAGTTTGGAAGGTGTTCCCCTTCACGTCTCCCTAGCCAAGGGCCTGCCTAGACTCATTTCTTATTATTGTGTCAGCTGAGCAATCCTCTCTGACATATTCAGGTAAGTGGTAGCAGCCAAGCTCACATCCATGCTGCGATATCTCTCGGCAGAGTGGCTGAGCCAGCAAATCTGTAATTTGAATGAGTTCATTAAGCTCAACTGGCTTCTTGCTTTGGCTGTTTCAGGAGGCCTCAACTCCCAAGCCTTAAATGTAATTCCAGTTCCCGAAAAGCAAAATTCAGCAGGTGTCAGACTGAAATTAAATGCAGCAGCAGCAGC